GGACCGTGGGAGGGCTCCAGGGCATGTCTGGCCAGTTCTGATTGGCTGGACCCCAGCAGCAAGCTAACCTACTCGTTGGAACATTTGCCCCCTGGTGGTCAGTGCACATGATACCAACTGGTCAAACAAACGGTCGGACACTTAGCCTATTAGGCTTTTATTATATAGGATAAGAGTGTCTCTTGATTGTTGTTTGTGTCTCTTTGTTGTTTGGTTTAATTGTTTAAAGATGGGGCAGAGCCCATGCTGCTGGGAGAGTTTTGTCTATTTGTAGTGTAACTTTGGTTAAAGATGTTCTTTGCTTGCTTTCTCACCTTTTGGGAGTACTCATTTATTAAGATTTCTTCTTACATGCAAGATTTTACGTTGTTGCCATCTACTCAGAAAGAAAAATTGTGGGAAGTTGAAAAACCAGCCAGGATCCAAAAACCAGGACTACAGGCTTTCTCTGGGAAAGAGACCTGCCGGGCTGTCTTGCAAGGGGAGAACAGCAACCCATGAAGAGGTGAGGACACCTTGTGAGGGAGGGATGGGGCTTAGGGTACTCGGCTCGCTGATTGATGGTCCATATAAGGTCGGCTTTCAGGTACTTAGGGACAGGGCTTAGGGTATTTGGCAGGTTCTGATTGGTGGTTCAATGTATAATCCATGTACAGTACATGGTTAGGCACTCAGGTATTTCTGGGCTGCAGGTTATGTCAGACTCCACCCACCAGTTGGGGGAAGGAATAACCTTCCTAAACCCCTCATGTTTTCCGCCTAGGAGGGCCTGAGCTATAGAAGTGTCCTCGGGCGGGGCCACTCCCATGCTGTAAAGAGAGAGAAAAAAATAAGTCCTCAGTAACTTAAAACTTTGGAGTCCTGCTGGTTTAAATAGTAGAAATTATTAAATACCTGGGCATTTTGAAATAAGTGGAAACTGAAACATTAATTAGCCTGAGTTTGCCTACTTTTGACTTTTTATTACAGAAAAGTTTGAAGATACACTTGAATTTGTTAGTGAATGTTTTTATTAGAAATATGTCTCTTAAAAGTGTGAATGTATTTGCCAATCTAAAGAGTTCTAACTGCTTACTTTTTGGTGTTCATCTAAAAATTAAGGTTTCTAAGAATCTAACCAACTGGAAAGAAATTGTATAGTTTTGTAAATAGAAGGCATGAGGCATGGAGATGTATTTTGAAGCGGGAGGGAATACCTGAGTTTAAAGCTGGTTATTTCTGAGTGGGTAAGAGATTTGTGAACATTATAGAACACTTTGTGATAGTTATGGAGGGTTTGTGGAGAGAAATCTCAAAAGTTAATTATAGGTAATCTAAACAATAAACTTAATCAGATAAATGAATCCAAAGTCAGCTAGGCTTCTATAGTCTGTTAAAAGGGAAAAAGTCTTTCCTGTTTTTTGCCCAGAAAACAGAAGTTCTATAAATTATTCAAACGGTTATCCTACCTAATAAAAGAGTAATATGCAAATTAACCATCACTCCTCTGCACCCACAGCCACGCTCACCAGCCACACTCACCAGCCAATCAGAGCAAGTATGCAAATAAACCCAACCAAGATGGCTATAGCCACAGAGAGCAGGAGGGAGGCTTGGGTTTCCCAGGCAATGGAAGTCAAGCTTTCTGCCTGCCCTTGCTGGCCTAGGCCTCCACTCAAGGCTACAAAGTTTTAATTGTAGAAGGTAAATAAATTTCAGATTCCAGGCCCTCCACTTGGGTCACCAGGGGGCATGGCCGGCCTGCAAACCACCACAGGCCCCTCGCTCAGGCCGCTACACACCTGAAGGGAAACCCCACCCTGATCCAGAACACCCTTCAGGGCAAACCAGCTGGTCCCCACCTGTGCCCCAGGCCTCAATCCTATTTAATAAAAGAATAATTTGCAGATTGACCATTACTCCAACGCACAATAGCTGCCCCCATGTGGTCAAAGATTCTGCCCCCATGTGGTCACAAGATGACCAGCAGGGAAGGGCAGTTGGGAGGAATCAGGCCTGCAAGGGAGGGCAGTTGGAGGTGATTAGCCCTGTAGGGAAGGGCAGTTAGGGATGACCAGGCAGGCAGAGGAGGGAATTGGGGACAAACAGGCTGGCAGGGGAGCAGTTAGACATCAATCAGGCTGGCATGGGAGTGGTTAGGGGGTGATCAGGCCGGCAGGCAGAAGCGTTTAGGGGCAAACAGGAAGGCAGGCAGACAAGCAGTTGGGAGCCAGCAGTCCTGGATTATGAGAGGGATCCCAGATTGGAGAGGGTGCAGGCTGGGCTGAGAGACTCCTCCCCTGCCCCATGCATGAATTTCATGCACCAGGCCTCTAGTCTATATTATTGTAATAATAGCCTAGGGTCATCATGAGGATGGGAAGACTGGTAACTGCTGTGCCCAGATTTCGTGATCCCCAAGGACCACCAGGGAGCCGAGTCCAATGCAATAGCAGAAAGCCTGTTCCATGCCAGCATGGGCTCTGTCCCACTTATACTGACATTGGCGTGGAGGAAGAGCATGAGCTTCAACAGATCAAAGGGTTCTATAGGGGTGGTGATGTCATTGCTTTGGCTGACCCTGATTGGTTGGGTGAGGGCTAGGGTCCAATTACAAAATGGAGGATCAGGAGTTCTGCCCTGCCCACTCATTCCAAGGAGTTAGCCCTGCCATGCCCTTTCAAAACCAGGAAGTGCTTGGAGCACCTCTTGGTCCCTCCCCTCCCCTTCTACCTCTAGCCTGCAGACTCCATCAGGCTGGATGGTCAAGGAGAGCCATGGGTCCAGGCTGGGTGGCAGAAAGCGGGACTGTGGATTGGCCATCAGGCCTCTCCATCCTGCCCATCCTCTGCTGAGTGAGACCAGACCTCCTAGCTTCTTGTCGAGTCCCTGGTCTCTGAGTCATAAGGCCGCTTCCTCATGTTCTCCAGAATGCACTGCTCAGTAACCATCTATACTAATAAAAGTGTAATATGCTAATTAGACCGAGTGACCGGACATCTTCTGGACATCTGACTTCCTTCTAGACAAAGCCACAGTGGTGGGGGACAAGGCAGAGGTGGTTAGGGGGGATCAGGCAGGCAGGGGATAGCAGTTTGGGGCCATCAGGCCAGCAGAGGAGGGCATTTGGGGGCCATCAGGCCAGCAGGGGAGCAGTTAGGTGGCAATCAGCAGACAGGCAGGCAGGCAAGACAGTGGTCCCAGATTGTGAGAGGGATGTCCAGTTGCTGCTGCCTTGTGGAATGGGGCCTAAACAGTCAGTCGGATATCCCCTGTGGGGTCCCAGATTGGAGAGGGTGAGACCAGGCTGAGGGACACCTCCCCATGCACAAATTTCATACATCAGGCCGTTAGTATATTATATTAATCAGACACTTAATTACTTTTTAAAAAGGCAATCTTCTGCCGGGACCGGTTTAGCTCAGTGGATAGAGCGTCAGCTTGGGGACTGAAGGGACCCGGGTTCGATTCCGGTCAAGGGCATGTACCTTGGTTGCGGGCATATCCCCAGTAGGGGGTGTGCAAGAGGCAACTGATCGATGACTCTCTCTCATCGATGTTTCTAACTCTCTATCTCTCTCCCTTCCTCTCTGTACAAAATCAATAAAATATATTTTTTAAAAAAAAGGCAATCTTCTTAATTATGGGAACTGAAGTTTTGTTAGCCTATGTTTGCATTTAATACATTTTTGTCACTTTAAATTAATAAATAATCTAATACTGCTACATAATAATAATGATTATATGTAATCTTTTGGTAAAATATGTTTGACAACCTTCCCAGTATTTGAATTTTAAGAAACTTCTTTGTTTTTCAATTTTTAGATTTGGCTTTAGGTCACTCCAATAGGCCCTGGAATGCCTCAAGAATTAGTTTTCTCTCCTTATGAAGGAAAAAAAATTGTTAAGGTACAGGGGAAGCTTTGTCAAATAAAGAAGAAATAACTCTGATATGCTTTCATTTATAACTCTAATTGTTATTCTGAATATTTTGTTTTGCAGAAAGGACAAGATTCCATGTCATTTGCATTATAATCAAATTCATAATCATATCATTTTAAATTTCTTCTTAATCATTTAGAGTCAGTTGCTATTTTGTTATAATACATTTGGAAAAATGTACATCTTCTGAGGGATCCAGGGAGAGAACTCTGACATTTTCAGATCATCCCCTTTGAACTGGATGAAAATTACTAGAACTCTATAGAGTAGGGGTGTCGAACTCAATCAGAGAAGGGGCCAAAATCTAAAATCCAGCCTAAATCGCGGGCCGAATGGTTTACTGAACAGTCATAAACTGTCATTGTGATGGAAACGCAGCGGAGTGCAGTGATGACAGCGCGGTGCGGGCCACATTGCAAGGCCTGGCGGGACGGATTTGGCCCGCGGGCCTTGTGTTTGACACATGTGCTCAAGAGCGTGAGGAACTCACCCAAGCCTACAGGTATTGCAGGAATATCTGATGGCAGCTAGGTGGCTCAGGTTTCTTTGCCCTGAGGGGCTGATTAAAGCTCAATCATAAGATTCCAGCAAAGCAGATTTTTTAAAAGTCTATATGATCAATTGCTTTCTTATTGTGTTCATGCAAATGATCAGGTCAAATTGAAACTAGACTTAACACAATAAGTAAACTGGTCTTAATGTGGCTCCTTAATAAAAATGAGGGTGATTTTAGGGGTGGGGATTATGTTTCAGTAGACTCTGTAACACACAGCTGTGAATATTAGACTTAAAACTATTTTTTAAACCTATGAATTGAACTGGATCTTGAATTTATCTGTAGCTTTTACCCTAATATTACTAAAATTTATAACACAGTTTGTCTCCACCAGGTTACAAGCCCTAATTGCACTCAGGGAATATCACCTCTAAATACCATTACCACCTCCTTCTGTGCTCAAGCTTCATCATCCCTCTGACAATGGTTCTGAAGGAAACACTTTGTCCCTCTTTAGCATGAAGCAGTCACAGAAGTGACTCTGTGCTCTTTTATTCTGAAAGAGTTCAAAGCCAAGAGCCTTGAGGGGAGTGTGGTAGGCATGTAGACAGACATGAGCAGAGCAAGGACGATGGCCAACCAGAGGGAAAATGGACAGGACCTTGAGGCGTGCTTCTCACTACTCCAATGACTCTGAAGCTGGCAATTGAGGAACCTGTGAAACTGACCTTTATTTACATCTTGCCTAGGAGGAGTTGGCACACCTATTGCTAATATATAGAATTACTAGAGGCCTGGTGCACAAAATTCATGCATGAGGGGCTGTCCCCTCAGCTCAGCCTCAATCCTCTCCAATCTGGGACTCTTCAGGGGATGTCCAACTGCCCATCTAGATCAGAAGTCAGTACATCCTGGGACCGCTGCTTCTAATCACTCACCTTCCTGGCTGCCTGCCTGGTTGCCCCTAACTACCCACCTCCCCACCAGCCTGATTGCCCCTCATTGCCTCTGTTGCCAACCTGATCACCCCTAACTGCCTTCCTGCCAGCCTGGTCGCCCCACACAGCCTGCTTGTTCAGTCATTTGGGCATCCCTTGGGCCTGTCCTGGGCAGCTGGGCAGCCACCATCCAAAGCTTGTGTGTGCCTCTAGCTTGCCCTGAGTGGCTGAGTAGCCACCATTTGAGGCTTGCCTGCACCTTGGGCTGGCCCTGGGCAGCTGGGGGCTGAGGGAACTGGGAGACTCTGGAGGAAATATGTGGAGTAGTTGGGCCCTCCTGCAGGTGGGCCAGGCCTTGCTGTGTGCCCAGGACTGAGGGGACTTGGTGCTTCCATCTTGTGGCTCTGGGCATCATCATCTTTGAGGGCATGTCAGTCAATTAGTTTATTCGCCTCGTATTGGCTGTGGGCACCACCATCTTTGCAATGGCTAAAGGGCCCATTAACAAGCTAAAGGAGTTCATCACCATCAAACCAGAATTATATGAAATGCTTAAAAGTATTCTTAAGAAGAAGAAGAAGAAGAAGAAGAAGAAGAAGAAGAAGAAGAAGAAGAAGAAGAAGAAAAAGATAAAAATTATGAACAATCTATCAACAAGTGAATCTAAAAACCAAGGGAATAAAAATCTTATGAACATAATAAACTGGTGAATATAGTAGAATCAGGGGCATAGAAAGGGAGTGTGGACTGACAATTCTTGGTGTAAAAGGGGTGTGGGGGGGTGCTGGAAGAGACTGGACAAAAAGCGTACACCTGTGGATCAGGACAGTGTGGGGGGAGGTAAGAGCAGAGGGTGGGGTAGGAACCTGGTAGAGGGGAACTATGGGTGAGTGGGGAAAGAGGAACAATTGTAATAATCTGAAAAATAAAAATTTATTAAATTAAAAAAAAAGAATTAACCAATCAGCCGGGACCGGTTTGGCTCAATGGATAGAGCATCGGCTTGGGGACTGAAGGGTCCCGGGTTCGATTCTGGTTAAGGGCATGTACCTTGGTTGCGGGCATATCCCCAGTGGGGGTTGTGCAAGAGGCAGCTGATCAATGATTCTCTTCGATGTTTCTGACTCTCTATCTCTCTCCCTTCCTCTCTGTATAAAATCAATAAAATATATTTAAAAAAATTAACCAATCAGACACAACCTTATTATGCAACCTGAGCAATAAGATGCAACTCTTATGACTTCTATATTTATGGTTCAAGACAGGGAATTCACACAGAACAGCTACTGTGTTGGCTTTGGCCATTTTTTTTCTGACAATCTAAGGGAAAATATGTCATTGCCCCTGACTACATAGTCAGGTGTTGCATGTTTTGCCCCTAGCGCCTGGTAGAAATTCAATGTCTATATGGGTCAAGTGCACACCAATGACCCCAACATGATGAAGACCATGTGGAAGACAAAGGCTTTGAGAAAAATATTCAAATGAGCCTTTTATGGGGCTACATAGAACTGATTTTGAAAGTTTCAAGGCAGACCTTGGTTTGAGTTCTGGATTTACTGCTCACAATCTTGTGACATTGGAAAAGTGACTTCACATCTCTAAGCCTTAGTTTCCAGTAAAATATACCTGGCTCACCTAGTAAGTTCTCAATAAAGTTAAGTTACTAAGTAAAGTTTGCTCTCTGTTTAGCCTAGTGTTGATAACTTTATTTTGCTCCCAGCAACTTCTCTAAGACTGGGGTAAACATTATCCACATTGTTCTAAAGTAGGGGTGTCGAACTCAATCAGAGAAGGGTCCAAAATCTAAAATCCAGCCTAAATCGCGGGCCGAATGGTTTACTGAACAGTCATAAACTGTCATTGTGATGGAAACGCAGCGGAGTGCAGTGATGACAGCGCGGTGCGGGCCACATTGCAAGGCCTGGCGGGACGGATTTGGCCCGCGGGCCTTGTGTTTAACACATGTGTTCTAAAGCAGTGCATGTAGTCGGGCAGATGGCACTGAAGCTGCTAACGGTTCTCAGATGAGGACAGCACAGAACTGGGTACCAGTGGCTCCCGCTATTTCTCTCCGATAGTCTTCCTCATGCTCCCCTCCTTGGAGGGAGGTCTCAATGATAATGTTGACATAGCAAATGTAGGCTTCCACTAGGAGCCCTGAGCATGATCATTTTATCTACATTTGCAATGATTTTTGTCTTACTGCAGAAATAGCTTTATTGATCTCTGTCTACAGAGCCACATCTGATGGCTTTGAACTTGGTTTGCACCAGGAGCAGCCGAGAGGCCACCTAGACCATCTGGTACGGTAATTAAATTAAATTCCTCTTTCTGTTTCATATGCCTTTTTTGTTCTGCTTAAACTAGTCAGTGCCATTGCAGGTGGGTCACAAGTCTGTGCCCTTGGTGTCATTCTTCTCAACCCAGTGATGGCAAGGGCTCCTCCTATGGTGGGAGTCCCTTCTGTGGTGGCACCTGCTGCTCAGGGAGGGGAGGCTCTCAGTTCCTGGGAGTTCTTCTCCAGGAAGTAGGCTAGGACAGTTTCTAAATTAAATAAGGAGGGGGCTGGAGAAGTGATTATTCACTCAGGGCATATGAACAGAAATGACAGGGTAAGATGAAGGGAAAAGGGGAATCAAGACAAAGTACTGAGAGTTTTAAAATGGCAGAAGAGTAAGAGAATGCAGCACGGACATGCTCCCAGGAATAAACTGGAATTACAACTGAGATATGGAAAGGCTTCCTGAACAAGCAGTGGAAACCTCCCAGGAGAGAACCGTGATATCCAAGGATGGAAGGCAGAGACCACTTAGGGACTGGTAGGAGGGGTGGAGGCACAAAAGAGCTGGCCCATCACCCACAGATGGCAACTGAAGACCCAGAGAGTTGAGTTAGCTATAGGAGGGTGCCACTGAGAACTCTGGGATCTAATCCAGAAGCTGGACCCCCCAGCAGAGAACACCAAACTGAGAAGGGTACCCACATAACATCTAGCTGTGAAAGACAGTGGAGTGCTGTCTGCCAGCAGAAAGTTCAGGAACCCTCTTAAAGGACCAATGCACAAAAATTCCCTGTAGACTCACCCACCTCGTGATCTGGCAGAGGGAGGGTGAAGTGGACAGGAGCTGTGAGAGCAGAACCCAAAACTGGGGACTCAGAGGATAGAGCTCAGAAGGCAGACATCCCAAGTTTCCTGGACTGAGCCATTTCCTCACATGATGGAAGGCATCTTTCCCACATAGACATTGCCTTGCCTGGTGGGGGAGGGAGGGGCGTAGGAATACAGTGAACACCTTGGAATAGATATTGGAAAACACCTTGTCTGGAGTCCACTTAAGATATTAAAAGTAACAATTAGCCTCCAGGCAGAAGTAACTGCCCCACCCTGTTAAACACACACACACAACAACAACAACAACAACAACAACAACAAAACTCTTGTCACACCTGAGGACAATTGCCTTGGGGCAATTCAGGTTGGAATCCTATTAGTCTATAGACAGAGGAGGCTTTGAGTCTTTGCCTAATCTAATTAGTCAGAAACAGCCTTTAAAACTATCTTGCATTAGAAATTGAGAGGTGTAGAGGATATACCAAAAACATAGTAACAGACCCAAACATACAACCAAAATGAAGAAATAAAGAAACAATCACCAAGTGAAAGAACTAGTGAATTCTCCAGAAGAAGAGATAAATGAAGCAGAGATAAGACATTTATCTGAAACAGAGTTCAGAGTAATGATGGTAAAGATGCTCAACAGTATAAAAAAAATATAGTAACTATGAAAAAAGAACAGTCTGAGATCAAGAATGACATAACACAAATAAAGAACACATTGGAAGGAATACACAGCAGATTAGGGGAAGCTGAGGATCCAATAAGTGAATTAGAAGACAGAGTTGAAAATATCACTCAATTAGACAACCAAAAAGGAAAAAAAAAGAAAAGAACAGGAGGACAGCTTGAGGGAGCTATGGGACAATGTAAAATGTGAAATATTGGAATAACAGGTGTGCCAAAAGAGGCAGAAAGGGAGAAAGGCATAGAGAAGGTGTTTGAAAAAAATAATGGTAGAAAAGTTCCTAATCTGGTAAAGGAAAAAGTCACACAAGCTCAGGAAGCACAGAAAACACCAAACAAGAAGAACAAACAAACTGATGTGCCCAGACACATCATAATTAAAATGCAAAAAATTAAAGGCAAAGAGATAATCTTAAAGGCAGCAAAAGAAAAGAAAACTGCTACCTGCAAAGGAGTTCCCGTAAGGCTGACACTTAATTTCTCATCAGAAATGCTACAGGCCAGAAGGGAATGGCATAAAGTACTCAAGGTAATGGAAAGCAAGGATCTGAGACCAAGATTACCATATCGAGCAAGGCTATCATTCAAATAGATGGTCAAATAAAGAGCTTCCCAGACAAAAAAAAAAAAAAAAAAAAAAAAAGGCTAAAGGTGTTTATAACCACCAAGCCAACATTACAAGAAATGCTAAAGGGATTGCTGTGATGGATTGCTGAGAAGAAGAAACACAAAGAGAGAAACCTAGCCATACAGAATTAAAATGGCTATAAATAACCACCTCTTAATAATAACCCTAAGTGTAAACGGATTAAATGCTCCAATCAAAAGGTGTAGGGTAGCTGAATTGATAAAAAAAAAAAAAAATGATCCAACTGTATGCTGTCTACAAGAGACCCATCTCAAAACAAAAGACACATACAGGATGAGAGTGAAGAGATAGAAAAATATTTTCCATGCAAATGTAAAAGAAAAAAAAGCAGGAGTAGCCATAGTCATATCTGACAAAATAGATGTTAAAAATATCATGCTATGTGGAATAACCCAGTCAGAGAAAGATAAATATCATATGATCTCACTCATTTGTGGAATATAATGAACAACATAAACTAATGAACAAAAATAGAGCCAGAGGGGGAAAATATTCTAGAATATAATAGAAGTAATCCTGTTATTTGCAGATTTTTAATATTTTCTATAATTTTTGTAAGATCATACTATATTAGTACACTTTGTGTAATATTATTATACTTAAAATCCTTTTATTCTTAAAATATTAATGTTTATTGCTTATAATGTTATTAGATGTAAGATCATTTTTTTTGAATAACTGGTGTTCATTACATGTAATATTATCATATTTAAGATAATTTTTCTTGAAATATTAAGGTTTATTGCATGTAACAAAATATTTTTCTTGAAATAAAAAAACTGGAAAAAAAAAAAAAGGAGAACATGAATCTAAAAAAAAGGACTTAAAGTAGTGATTTCACCTTCTTTTTGGATTTAAAGTCACCTCCAGGTCTTTAGTGAGAAAAGTCAGGAGAGTTCTTTCTTCACCCTTTTCTATTGCCCATTCCAAGACATCAGAGAGTAGTCATCACTTGGAATCATTCTTCCTGTCAAAAATCTCTGCTAAGCTGCCACGCCTCAGGATGTGAGCCACTTGTTTCCCTTAGTCTTTGAGGCTTCATGTCAGCCCACTCACCTGCCCTATTCTGTTCACCATTACTGCTTCTGCACTTTGAAGCTCGGTGATAGCAATTACACTGCAGAGCATTCAGCTCCTAGTCCACAGAAAGCAATCAGTAAGGCACTGACTTATGATGAAGTGAATCGAGGAGTGTGATCATTCCTTGAACCATTCGCCCCAAAACCTCTGCACAAGAGGAGCTCAATCTGATTGCTCCCTTTAAATGTATTGTCCATTCAATTCACCAACTTTGTCAGATTTTACTTGTGTAGGCCCAATATCTATCATCTATCTATCTATCTATCTATCTATCTATCTATCTATCTATCTTTCTATCACCTATCAATCATCTACCTAC